AAACATTATCATACAATAGTCTAGTTAAAACACATAAAATGTGTCTAATTATCCTCATTACTTTATTGATTTGCGTATAATGGGGAGTCTTTTGCAAGAATGTATTCTTTTCCACCGACTGTGGCATTCCCTCCTTGAACTCCAAATGTCGTGGCGCTGCCAAAATCTTCATCTACTCTTAAAGATGACCAAGAAATTCCATTTGCTGTCATTTTAACAGTTGATTTGTTATTTGATTGTATAAAAATAGTTTAAACTGACACATTGTTTAGTTTATACATATATTTTCTAATTTTGTCTACTTACCTTTTTTCAATTTAATTTCGACTTTAGTTGAAAGGAACTCATATGTAGAATTTTCAGGTTCAATGTATTGATAAAGCGGAAAGCCTTCTTTAAATCTTTTCTTATCGCCTGTTTTTAAATCGATACTTATCTATAATGAAAATACAATTAAAAATTTTTTATGAATCAAAAAGAATAAACTCTGAATAAAAAAGGATAGGCTTGCATTTTAAAATTTAATTAAGCATTAAATTATGCAATATGCTTATATTGCACTCTAATGATCTACCAATTAAATTGTACGTTATCTGCGATATAACGTGAAGATTTGACATTAATTTTTGACAATTATCATTCATCGCCAGTGCGATGCATCGCTACCCCCTGATTAACCAATCATTTGGTTTGTTTTGATTTCACGTTAATCAAAACAAAAACAAATAGCGACTGGTTAGAGTTAGGTTAGGGTTTGGTTAGGATAATAGCCAAAGACAATTTCCTAACCCAAAATTTCGCAAGGAATTTTTTTTGTTAGAATAAAAAGTGTAGTATCATAGGCAAAATTTTAAGTTAGAAGCGATTTTTTTAAAAAAATCACAATCGCTTCGATTTTCACGTTACACCTGATCCTGCCTCTTGATTGGTCGATCAGGGGGTAGCGATGCATCGCACTTGATAATATCTCAAAATTTTGCTTATAAAACAACTTTTAATATTCTAGTAAAAAAAAATTTTTCTTACAAAATTTTACAACCCTAAACTATTTTAAACTATATACTGCGATATACAGGAACATCGCATGGTGCGATGTATATACAGTATTTATTCTTATTTTAAATGTTTTATTTTTGACTTTTTTATACGCATGTACGCAGCGGCTCTCGATATAGTGGATGCCATGGTTCCAGTCCTTTGATCCGTTATATCAAAAGCTCCATAATATAAAATCTCATGATATATCAGATATTATAGTAAATTAGCTTGGTTTCATTATAATTCTCCGTATTAATCAATATCCGTTATTTCGAGAGCAACTGTGCATTTAATTTGTAATAATTGTAACCAATAAAATTAAAGATTTTGTTACGTATACGTATATGCAGTGCTTCTACGTAGATAAAAATTTTTAGTTTATAGCTATATATAAGTATTTAAATATCGATTATCAAGTAAATAAAGTTTGCAATAAATTCTAATATTTACACTTGTCTAATTAGTGGCCACAATTTCGAACGTGCGTAACAAATCAAGCTGTAAAATTTGACCAATCCGGATCAGTCCGACGAAGCAAGAAAAAGATGAAAATCGCAACAAAACACGAAAAATTAGTCTAAAAAATTTGTTTATTGTGAAATGTTAAATACATCTTTATATAACGGAGAATTAATGCATGTTGAATGCATTGATCTAATTGTGTAACTCAGATAGAGAATCAAGCATTTCTTAATAGTTACCAGAATTTGCTAGAAGAAATTTATTTACTATAATTGATATACCTGCATAACCGAAATTTTTCATTGTTCTACTTTTATAAATGATCCGAAACATTA